TCCTCTTCCCCGTGTTGTGTCCTCTTCTCCCTGCTGTGTCCTCTTCCCCCTGCTGTGTCCTCTTCCTCCTGCTGTGTCCTCTTCTCCCTGCTGTGTCCTCTTCCTCCTGCTGTGGCCTCTTCCCTCTGCTGTGTCCTCTTCCCCCTGCTGTGTCCTCTTCCTGTGTCCTCTCCCTCCTGCTGTGTCCTCCTCCTCCTGCTGTGGCCTTGTCCAGCCTTGGTGCTTTTTTCCATGCTCTGTTGCTGGTGTCCCTGGAAGGCCTGCTGGTTTTGAGGGATGGAGGGGGTGAGTCTGGGAGAGAAGAGAAGTAGGGGAGATGCTGGGGCAGTTGAGGGGAAGCTGCTGTCATAATTGTCGTGGCAGAATAAAGAGAAGGAAAAGGTGTTGTGTCTGCTGTCGTGTTCTGCATTGAGAGTCTGCCAGACTGTTCTTGCACCACATGCTGGTGCTTAGTGTGCTCAAGCTTAGTCTGCTTAGTCCACTGGTACTTAGTCCGCTGGTGCTTAGTTGCCCTAATTCATCCTTGTAGTGGTGGGAGAGTTTCTGTCTTTGCCCCCTGGGGTGCCGTTGTAGGCATGCCAATCTGGATGGCAGAGACTTCACACTGTTGAACCCCAGTGACTTCCCTCCTCCGTCATCTCCGTCATCTCCGCTAAGCTCTGCTGAGCTGTTTCTGAATGCGAGGCTTGGGGTGCGGTGTCCACACTCCTGTGTCGGCTTGTTTCACCAAGGGTGGTGCCCTCCACTTTGACTCACGCTCGGTCGTTTGTCCCGGTTTCCTTCTTTTCAGTCAAAGCACCCGTTGCCTTTACTCATTTGGAATGGCGGCTCGGGAGCCTTCCACCTTTGGCTCTTTTGGATGGAGTCAGAGCAGGATGTTGTTAATTGGGATTTTAACTATAGTTTTGCTCATTACTTGTCTTTGCACGCCTGCATTAGTCTTTTTATTGCAGGCAATGGGTCCCAAGCCTTTGGAATTACAGCCCCTCAGGCAGCGTGTCCTGACCCCGGGCTCTGGGCTTCTTGATGGCTGGGCGTAATTCACCTGCAGTCCCCTCATTGTGGTCACTTTCAGTCCCACGGGGTAATTCAGTGGTCGCAGCGCTAAGGCAGATGAGCAGAACACTAAACTGCTCAAAATACGTTAGGTTTGGAAACTTTGAGTGCTTGCTAACGGGCCGGGTTTGTGTGTCTGAGGTGAGGTTTCTGATGACTTTCGGGTTGGGTTCACAGCGTGCAAATACTGAGAACACTCACAGGGCTGGGGGCTGGCTCAGGGATGAAGCCCTGTCCTGACACGGGAGCTCAGTCGCTGGAAACCCTGCTAGAAGTGCAGAACCAGCGTGTGCAGGCTGTCCTCTGACCCCCACAGATGTGTGGCACGGATGCCTCCTGCATTCACGTGCTTGCCAGTATGCTGGTTCTGGTGTAGCCGAGGGGCTCGGGAGCAGTGACGGTGCTGATCTTTTCTCATCCTCGATGGTTCTGCTGTAATAGAAACACGGAGATCACATTTTAGTTCCCTACTGGAGCAATGATGGTTGTATCTGTTTTTTATATTTCATTTATTATTTATTTATTTTCCTACCACTTTTCCTAAAGGAAAATAACTTCGGGGATTTTTTTGGTAGCTTTTGTACCAGCATTCAGGATGGCTGCTCATGGGAGTGTAATTTTTAGAAAAGTAACTTAAAACTTTTTTACCAAGAAATCTTGTTTAAGTTTGTTTAATTGTCTTTGTTAAGGTCTGTAAATGAGCACCTTCCTTTCATTCCCCGAGGTTAATGCTTGTCTGCCGACAGACATGTAAACACATGCACGCAGTGTGTATGAAAGCTGTGTGCATGAGCAGACCAGGTGTGGCGGCGGCTGCGACCTGCAGCTGCTGCGACCTGCGGCTGCTGCGACCTGTGGCTGCGGCACGCTGTGCTCCTGCACTAGCTGTTTTCTCTGCCCTCCGGGTTCTCGAGAGGCAAGGACTCGCACGACCCCTCTGCCAGGTCGCCGCACTCCTGTCTGGCTGCATTTTGTATTGTGCCTCTGTTTGCCACCACCCCAGAGATTCGGAATTGGTGGAATTATTTTGGTGTTTGTGTGTTCGCCATCCCTCCCTCCTTTGCCACAGACTCTTGACTATCAGACACAGATCCGTGAGTGGCACACTCGTCTTCACTGGCTGACAGGGAGCTGTCACCTGTGCTGGCAGTGCCTTTCCCCAGATGTGTTTTTGCAGCCGGCAGAGCTTCTGCCCCGAGTGTTGGTGTCCAGGCTGATGGCATCGCCTGCAGGGAACAGGCGGCGATGGCGTGGTAGGTGGCCATTTTCTGCAGTGGGGTGGCACACTTTTAGAGACAAAAGGCTATTCCCTTTCTGCTTTTGACCGTGAAAATGGGAGTCGTGTGGAAGGGGAGGTGGAGGCACCAGCCGTGAGCTCCAAGTCCCCGAGGCCCCCAGACCACAGAGGAGCTTCATGTTTCACTTCCTTCTGGTTACAGCTCTGTGATTTGCAAAGCTTCCAGGAACCTGGACCACGTGATGTGATACAGCACCAATGGCACTTACATTTGTTCCAGACAGATGCACACTTAAAACAGAAGTGCTTCATGGAAACCTCTAATGCTTAAGAGAGGCTGGTCCTGTTGTATATGGTTGTTTACACACTTGGTCTAACGTTGCTGTTCCTGGTTCCCGTGCCTTGCTGACATGCCCATTCCTTCACTGGCATTAGAGCACACTTCTGCAGGATTCCAGACACCCAGGCTTGTAGGCTGGTGTGTCTTGACTGACATCTGGATTCTGAAGCCTACCTGTTCATAGCCAGCCATTGTTGGACTAGCTGGACTGCAGCCAGTAGGTCGTTCTGACAATCCACTATGTACATATAGAATATATATAACCTATATGTTCATTTATGCTAAGTTCTGCTTCTCTAGAGGACCATGACACATACAGGTCTCAGCTCCTCACTGTTGTCCTTCATATGTGTCATCCTTGCTAATGTAGGTTTAAATCAACTCTTACTTGGTCTACAAAGTGGGGTTTCAGGTTCTTCTTTGTCTCCTCTGAGGTCTGTGATTTCAGAGTGTCAGAGCTTGGCGGCGGCTCCTCTGTGTTTCTGGCCCTCCACTGGGGAGCTGGCCTTCTTTCTCGAGGTTCTGGGATCCTGGACTCCCTCCCCGTCTCCTCAGGCCAGCCCTCTGTCCTGAATGCCCTGTCTCCTGTGGTTAGTGTGCCCCACACCTTATCCGCTGCGACAACGCCACATCCCACCATACGCCGGCAGATGTGGCAGCCGGCTGGCCCTCCTCAACCTCTCCCCACTGCCCGAGCTAAGCCAGCCCCTGCTGTTTCCTATGACTGGGATCACTTTTCCTCACACCCACTCCGGTCTCCAGTGAGGACCCCGTGGGCGGGGACTTGGCCATCAGTGTGTTTGCCATTTGTGGAATTTGATTTAAAGGTTGTTTTTTTTTTTTTTCTTCTTTTCCTTTCATTTTGTGGATTCCAGACTTCTGAAGTTTAAAGCGTCTGTTTAGCTGTGATTTTGGTGAATATTTTTATGATATTCCTCCAGTGGTTTAGTACCCTCTGCAGTGTATTAGAGCTTGTGTCTATAATTACTGTGTTCTTCTGAGTAAGTCATGGGAGCTGTGCACCTACACAGTCTCACTTGATTGAAGTATTGCTATTGGGCCTGATCTCACTCCTGACTTCTGTGCTAATTTACTTGATTCTCTTGCCTTGCAGTAATAAATACTTAGTTTTTGCTTATTAAAGCGTGGCTGAGGTGAAGGGTTCTGGGGCTGCAGGAGGTGAAGGGCAGCTTTGTTGAGTTCAAGGCCAGCCTGGACACCTTAGTGAGACCCTGTCTCA